TTCTTCCCAGAGTGAAATGATAAGTGAGTGTTGACCAGAACAGGCTGTTGGCAAGAAATTTTTTGTAGGGGATTTCTGTTGCAACCACCACTACAGTCATGAGGTGCCATGAAGTTACTGTACTCTGGTTTGATGTTTTCTGACTAATAACGTAGTTCTGTAAGTGACAAAAACAGGGAAGTCAGATTTTCCCTTGACAAGTGTTCTTGACTGAATTCTCTCCTGCCTGGTGGGGAGTGGCTATGCCTGAAGCTTTGTGCAGATGGAGCATGCATAGCAAACAATTGTTGTAGAATCTCTGTTGTCTAGTGAGGCTCAACCTCTCTGGCACATGCAGGCACACAGACTGTGATTGTGCAAGCCTCGTTTCCTGTGGAAACCAGGCTAAAAATCGTGTTTAAAGTTTGTCTTGATCCATAGGAAACAAAAGGTTAAAAAGATGTTGAGAGGCTGGATGGAGAAGAGAAACTGGTCTTTGGCTTCCTGTATTTCCTAGGATGCAGAGTGCAATCAGGGAGTCTCTTCCGCTTTTCAGGGAAATAACGTGTATAAATTCTAGTAAAGTGTGGCTTTGCACTGTGATTTCCTATATTTTCCTTCACAATGGCTGTATTGACTTGGCTCCATTTGTAAGTCAAGAGGTGATTTTTCAAACCATCTTCATGCAAACTTCATGAAACAGGGAGTTTGACTTCCAGGTCACTTCTTCTCAGCAGCAGATCACTAATAAAAATTCTGTCGTCAGTATGTACTTGATAGTTTAATTGCTGATACATGGTGTAGAATATTGTCTACCTCTTTTTGTCCCAAGGTGATGGTACCCAGACTTTCAGAGAACAGAGACACTAGATACAGGGAAGATTCTGGCTGGTATGGGTTCAGGATGTGTGAATTTTCATTCCCAGCTCTGTTACAGACCATCACTTTCTCATCTGTACCTTAAGGATAGTTATGGTTACCCAGTTTTTTGAAATGTTTTGAAATCCACTGAAGAAATCTTCTATGTAAGAGCTAAGTGAGTTTTTTTATGTGCTGCATAATCTTTTGTTGTACATAACAATAATTATATTTTTTCCCCACAGAGTAGCTGTGCAAATCCTCAGAGCATAACCTAGGACAAATCCCATTCATTGTTTATGTGCTTAGACGTTTTTTAAAAATAAGTGCCACTTAAGAAGTCTAAAAGACCTTTTTAAAAAAAATTCTTTAGAGAAAAGTTTGGAAAGACACTGCAGAAACAGCTAAAACGATATTGTATTTAAACAAAACATGCAGTCAGCTGGTGAAAACTGTTTTCTGAGCTCCAGTTTTCATTTAATTGGGAACATAAACATATGAAAGTCAAGGATAGTAATTTGATTTCAAAAGAAAGCTGCTTGAGACAAGCATCAGTCAGAGTTAACAGGAGCCATATGCTAGATGTTTTATGTAAGTGATGTGGTCTTCCAAAAAAAAATAGGAAAAGCATATTTGATTTTTTTTTTCAAACAGATCTTTCCTAAAGAAGTTTTAGTAAACCTTCTGTTCAAGAGGCTAAACAGTATTTATGTGTGCAATTGATGCTAATATATTAGATTAAATTGTAGATGCAACTTATTTTCTGTTGTCGTGTGTCAAAGAAGTTTGTTCACTGAACTGTAACCACAGAGTGCTTGTAATTTCCCAGAGCCACAGGATAGTTAAGATAAAACTTGGCAAGTTAGAGCCTCCCTGAGTTGAGGGGGTTTTGGCTTTCTGTGACTAGGTCTAGTGAAAGCTTCACAGATGTGTGCTAGCCTTTTTAAATCAAGAGTAATCGTCTCCTGCAGACAGTTAGGGACAATAAGCTATGGAGGTAATTCTGGCACAACAGAGGTGAAACGAGAGTTTCCTTCACGTAATGAAAGGTTGAAAAGCACTCAGTGGGAAAGAACGAGGCTTAACTGGTGATCGTCCTTTACAAACCAGAAAGAAATGCTCTTGCATAGACCAATATTTGTTGGCTGTTTCTGTTGCATTTAAAGCCATTTAAATTATGATTTATAGACAATTATAGTCGTCTTTATAGTTAATTAAATGGTTGTTAAGCTCCCAAATATTTGCAAGCAGGATATATGTTACCCTGGCATACGAACTATAGCGTGCTTTGCTAGAAATGAATGAACATTGAGGAACTGATACTGAATGTTTTATATTGATGAATTATGTGAAGTATAGTTAATATTTTAGTGGAAACTGTTGGCTTGTTCCTGTTCAGAAGAGCCCCGCTGGCAGTGGTCAAACGTGCAGACTGAACGTTTTCTGCACGCTAACCTAGAAATGCAATTCCATGCTGGAGGCCTGCTCTGAAGGGAAAAATTGTGCAAAGTGTGAGGTTGCTAAAATTCACGTAAACTTTTTTATTCCTTAACTTGTACTTAGCCAGTTTTAAGTTAACAAGTCCCGACTGGGAGCGATCCCAGAGTTGGATCCCTGCAAGCTCTTGGCAGTCAGGGGAGCAGAGTAGGCTGCTCCCAGCAGTGAGCAGAGTAACTGGTTTGAGTTCTTGTCTGAGCATCCCTCTGGGGGGAGCAAACCTGCGTAAATCAGCAGCACTTGCTAGGCTTCACGTATAACCCTCCTCGAGTCCCTTTCCCGCTTCAGGAAGCTGATTATGGCATTAAGGCCCATTCCTTGCATCCTAAATATCATTCTCGTTAGCTGTGAGTGGATCGTTCTGGGCAGGAGAGAAGGAAAGAGGTCTTCCTCCTCCTCTCCCATCCTGGCGCCTGTGTAGGCAGCAGTGTGAGTGCGTGACTGGGAGTAGGCACAGGGATGCTCTTGCCACAGTGCTTTGGTTGAAGAAATTGCCAGATCGTTGATGATCCAGATAAAACAATTGAGGAAGTTACTGCCCTTCACCTGGATGCCCTTAAGGCTGCCCAGGGAGCCCATTCTCGTGCCCAGTGAACCTGATAACGTTAAACCTCAACTGAGGGCGATACATGCCAATCTGTTTGATGTTGCACTGAACTGAACTTAGTACTGCTCACAAGGACACCCATGACACGGTAATCTTGTGTGAAGGACAGTAATTTCTTAAATTGCTTCGCTAAATCTGCATAATTCTTATCATAGTTGTGATGCTTTTTAGAGGTGAAACTAATCGTTAAAGAAACTGGTCGCCTACAGGAAGTGCGTGGTGACTGTTGATCAAGGTTGGTAAACTTGTGTGTCTGGCTCATTACAAAGATTTGTCTGTAAAGAAGTTTAAACTGACAGCAGGTGTAATTGTTAGTAAACAGTAATATAACAACTGTGATGTTCTGTATCCTTTCTCAAATGATGAGGGGACAAATGGTGTTTGCACCCAAATAATCTGAAAGTGCGTCTCTCACATTTCCCTGTAAGATGCCTACAATCTTCTTGATTGCCATTGTTTGTAAAGCACATGTGGCAGGAACTTTTCAGATGTATATGAATAAAAAATGTCCAGAAAAGATTATGTTTTAAGGTCATCATTCTGTGGTCAGGTAAGAATGAGGAGGATCCTGGCATGCACTGTGTTGAAGCTGGAGGAGTGCTGCTGTGTTGGAATTGCAGCATTGATCTGGTCAGGCCTGGTTAAGCAGAAGCATCAGGAGGCAGCACAAGCACAAATGTGTATTTTAAGTCATCGTTGTGTCTTGGGTAATGTGCATCGCTATTGTACAACAGATTGTACAGCTGGTGTATTGAAAAATATTGCTCATAAGTCTCACTGAAGCAGTTATGCAATTTGCTACTCCCACCAATTCTTTGTCCAAAGTGCTGAGTATAATGCAAGATAAAATGCATTCTGATAGTCAGTTTTAGAAACTGCTGTTTCTATTTAGTAGACATAATAGGAATATAGAATTAATAGGGCAAGTATTACATCCTCTAAATTGTGGAGGAAAGTTTGAATTTGAATTAATCTCTAGTAATTTGATTCCTGATTTGATCATGAAGTATTGCTCCATGACAGCAGAAATAGGGTGATTTTCCTGAGATTTCAAAGACATTTAGGTAAAACTTAATTCCTGGCTATTGACTGACTTGCAGCCAGAAGAGGATTCATAGTCAAGCACCCCTTGTTCTGTCTGTTACTTTCTGTTACTCCTTTTCTACTGGCAGAGGAGATCTTCTAGCCTGATGCTTACCTCTCTTTGAGATCACTGGGGAACTGTTACCACTTCAAGAGGAGGTACAGAGGAGAATCTAAAAGTGTTTCTGTATTTATAAGAAGTAGGTTAAAATGCGCATGTATATGTGCATTTGTGTAGTCATGCTAGTATTATCAAGTTGTAATTTCTCCTATAATGTTGATTCTGAAGATCTTTCAGTGATTTTTAAAAGTAGAGGTTAACGAATTATTTTTAAAGACGACATGAGAAAAGTTACAACAAAGTTAATTGTCAGGCCATCCTGGAACTATTAAAACTTCCCTTCTAAAAAATACGTAGTCCATACATGTAGACCCAGGAGAGATTTATTCAGAGTATCAATCTTAAGGCCTCTGAAGAGCGCGCTGCGCTTTATCAGCTGAGTGAAAATGTTATTCGTTAACTTAGAAACATTTTTTTTCTCATCCTTCTTACTATTAAGAAAAAATACTCTATCAAGTGGAAACGGGGGGTGAACCATACTGCTAGCCTGTGAGAGGGGAGTGAAATCAGACAAATAAATGCAACTGTTTTGTTTGTGCAGTTACCTAGTAGGATATGCAAGCATGAGGTTTTGCAAACATAAGTGCTGATTTGTAGCCATTTTTCTGAATCTGTCTACTGCACCCTTTGAGACAGTATGTCTCCTTAGTGTCTATCTCCCATTTTCCAAACTTCACCATGTCTGAGTTTTGAAATAAGCCGTTGGATGGTTCTCTGTTTTAAGAGTTTTATCCTCAGCTCAGTACAAAGACTACAGAGCTGTGCTCATCTTCTCCAATTGTATCTCTACATCCTTGTTCTATGAGCAGAATTTTAAGCAAAATGCTTCATTGCACATCTGTTGTCTTTTTACAGGTGATGTATCACCCATCAGCATGTCTCCCATCAGTCAGTCACAGTTTATTCCACTTGGGGAAATCCTTTGCCTGGCCATCTCAGCAATGAACTCTGCCCGAAAACAAGTCACACAAGAAGCACTAATGGAGCACCTGACAACCTGCTTCCCAGGTAACTGGACATTAATAAATAATTGGTCAAATGGGCACATGTCTGTAAAAGGGCAGTTAAAGAATCCTCAATCCCTACCCAAAAGTTTCCTTATCTTTTTAACTTCCTCAAAAGAGGAAGTTTCAGTTTGGTAGTCTTGTTTTCCTTTGTTCTTCTGGATGGGAGTATTGATTAATCCTGAGATGCTACCCAAAAGTAAAAGGAGGCTTTTGGGATCTAATCTTATAACCCTTCCTTTTCTTTATTTTTAAATACGGAGAGAATCAAGTTCTCTTTGACAAGGCCATTTCTGTGAGATGCATTTTGCAGGGTTAATTCCTGACTTTATGTAAATATTAAAAAATTACCTGAGATACTAACCAGCAAACTATTGTTTTGTTTCTTTGTTCAAACCGACAGCAGAATAAGCTTCTTTGTGATTTTTCTCACAAAATAACCTTTATCATCATAGTCAAAAGAGTTTAGGACTTCTTTAGTGGTTACAGAGAACAAGGCATGTGTCATAGCCAGAGCAGACTTATTCCACCCTGTGGCTTTCAGGCTAGTTATAAGCTGGCTCATAAATGCTCTGTTGACATCATTCAACCAGTTCAAGTGTCATTGTCTAGTCTCCGTAGACATAACCTCATGGAGGCCTCCGTGTAGAGCATTCTCTCTTAAAGAGCAGGTTTTCCACATGCTGCGTGCCTTCCTCCACCTAGGGCAGGCTCTTGGAACTGGTGTGGCCTGATGCAAGTAATAGAGTCTAATGACGATGATGTGCCTGCTTCAGGGAGTGGACACAGTTCTGGCTTTTGCTTCTGTACTGCCCTTGCTTGAAAAATCTTTAAATTTTTTTTTTTTGACTTGACAACTGTCTCCATGACTGAAAGGTTTGTAGAGCCATGGATATACTTGCTGTGTTCATAAATGCTGGTGTTCAGAAGATATTTTTGTCAGCATTTGATAATATTTATCGAATGGTGAAATGAAAATGTCTTGGATTAAAGATAATGTAACATCAAAAAAAGGAAACCTGTATTAAGAATGTACCCATGAACGTACTGCTTCCCTACTGACAATCTGTATCTGAAGTTGGTGAATCATGCAAAATGCATCTTGTAGAGACATCAGAAAGTGTGGTGTAAAAGTGTTGGGCAGAGGTTTACTGCTCAAGAGAGCAAACTTTTTCACTTGTGCTTTGTATGATCCTGGGCGAGGTGTTCAACTATTCTGTGCCTCAGTTTACAATTCTCTAAACTAGTCGAGAAACTCCTCTGTTGTACCTCTTTTACAGATGTAAAACCCAGCTAATTAAAAATGCTTCAGTAAGAAAACTACTGATGCATCTGCCTCATCTAGGCAGCCTAACCATAGCCATATTTTGATGTTTTGATTTTTTTATTTGCATACCTTTCAGAGCAAGAGTTACATAAAACCTTGAAGGTTACATGGCTTTTGCTATAACTAGTACTAAGTTCTGAGACTTTAAAATATAATTCCGGATCGAGAGCTATGTTTGAAATAAACAATTCCGTCTGACATTTAATAATTGCACTTTGGAAAATATTACTGCAAGTATATTTTAAAAATACTGGCTTTCTGTCCCAATTTGTGGTTTTGTTTATCAGGGTTTTTTTTTTCAATATACTTAGCAGATTTTGAAAATAGTAGTAAAAGTTGTAAGGGATAGAATGCGAAGAAGGCAAAGTTCACAATTATAATTCCAGTTTAATTAATTTTGATTATTTTTTCCCAAGTCATGTTTTCTGTATAGCTATGTTATATATACATATATATACATATATAACATACAACATATATGTTACATAGCTATAGCTATGTATAGCTATGTTTTCTGTATAGCTATAGAAGAGTTCCTTAGGTTGCAAGTGTTTTCCCAATGATTCTACTGATAGTTTTTATAAACGTTATTGCATGGTGGAAATGATAATTTATTGGTGGCATCCCCTGGGTTTCCTGGGAGCTTGATTATCAGTTGACTTGGTGTGTTGTGCTGTTTGTGCTAGACAGGACCATACATCAAAAATAATTCAACAGGCTGGATTATTTTGTGGACTTAGCTCAGAAGAAGCCTGAGACAGGTTAGCACACAGTCTCTTGCTGCCTCTTTTTTTTTTCACTAGCCATGAACATGTGCATTTTTCCAGTCTGAGATTAAAAAAAGGAGCCTTGTTTTTCCTAACTCACTTCCCAAAAAGTAAAGAAAATCATTTGGGGGGGGGGGAAATAATCCATCCTTTGTTGTCCATTTTTTTCCCTTCTCTAGAGAAACGCCTTTCCAAACTTCCCGATCAACCCTCATCTGTATGTAGGGCATGACATTGCATGATACGGAATATTCCTTTGACGAATTTGGCCCTTGATCCTAAATGTAAGTTCAAATCATAAATTAGAAGTTGTGGGTCCTTCGCCCCAGCCTTACGCTCCCAGCCTGATGTGCGCTGGCAAAAACATGGGAAGCCGAAAAGCCCTGGATGTCTCAGCACCGACTATAAACATCAGTGTGCTATCAGTATTCTTCTCATAACAAATCCCAGACTAAATCCAAAACACAGCACTACTCTAGCTACTAAAAAGAAGAGCTAACTCTGTCCCAGCAAGACACTTCCAGCCATGACATGTTTAACATAGCAAACATACACGTTCTCTCAGCGTATGAAGATTATCCAAAAGTCTTATTATATTCCCATAAACAGAACTTCTTGCACTGAGTGATATTTTTCACTTGTCTGCCCAAACTCATAAATCAGCTGTGACTTTTTGAGCCCTTCTGTTCACTGTGGCTATTTTCAAATATCTGATGTCCCCCCATATTCGGATAGTTTATTTTTCCTGATTAGGTGCTGATGCTCTGAGAGAGAGGAGAGCATTACCAGTGTAAGTGTATCTGTCATTGTCACATAAACTCTCTCTATCTCACCCTGTAGCAGCACTTGTCTGCCTGTGTTGTTTGTGTTTTAATGAACAGATGCTTCACTGCATTTCATGGCATGTATGAATTTCCTAAGACCCCAGATGCTATTCTCAAACTGCCTAAGAATAATAAACCTCTTTCCTCAGTGCAGGATCTTACACTTGCAGTCTGGCCCTCTAGTTTGCTGAGCCATTGTGCAGGCATAAATCTGGGCCATGGCTCTATCTGAAATAAGGTATGCTAATTATTTATAACATCACATAGCAACCACTCCACATCCTTTACTAGTATTTCATGAGCCAATCAGAGTATTTCTTTTATCCCTTGTTAAGCCTTAGCATCAGCTCAGGAGAAAATCATTTTAGCAGATTTAACACCATTTAAATACTACTTCAGATGTATTTTTCATGAATTTATTTTATTGAAAAAGTTTGTAATGATAATGCACATCTTATTTGTGGCTTTTGTTATTTGTGAGGTTTTTAAAAAAGCAAGAGGGCTCCTGCTGCACGTGTTTCTATTATTCTAACTTAGAATTAAACAATGAGATGTTTGTACAGCCCTACTTTATAATTTATTGACCATGGTTTAAATCCCATACATTAAATATAAATCTTTGAAATCCAGTATAAGGAGCTAAGAATGTAACCTCTGTTCCTGTGTTTGGCAGCCAGACCCTTTTATCTGTGTGAACCTGGCTAAAGAAAACATCAAGCCTTAGTCTATGCTGCTTTTAGTAAGGATTTTTTTTTTCATTTTTGTCCACATACTTATGAAAATGATTTTAAGGTGTTCAGTATTTCAGTGTAGAAAAATACGTGTGTGTATGTGTGTATTGGACTAGGTTGCTTTCCAAGCAAATGGTTTTCTGAAAGCTGGCAAATTCCTCTGATGTTCTCCTTCATAACTCTCACTCTTTAGATACGTGAAATGTATATGTAGCACTTTATTGTAAGTGTCTTGCATTAACTGAGTTCACTCTAGGTCAGGGTTCTTTGTGAGCAGCAAACAAGACATAATCTTCTGTCTGGAAGCTCAGTGGCTGGCATAGTAGACTCTCTTGAGATGCAGAAAATGTACATGTCTGATGATTCAGTGTCCAGACAGTTTCTGCTTTTGAATTATTAAACCACTACATAATCTTAAATAGCACCACTGCTGTCATGCAATGTTTTGTATGCTAGAGTCTCTAAACTACTGAGTTTTTTCCTCTTCCTATTTAATGGAGGAAAGGAGACCATGAGGACACCTCTGAATGCAATGGGGTAGGTTACGTGTAGACATGATGTGGGCAGGTTGCTGTAAAGAGAAGTCTTGAGAAAGCCAGGAAATACGTATTTACAATAGCAAAAATGGGAGCCAGAGGAGTGTCATTGCTCCTGTCCACCATGGAGGAAAGCCTAATTCGAGTCTGAGTCTGTTTCTGCATTTGTAAGTATCTGAAAGAGATCTGAACAAAACTATAGGTAGCATTCGCTGGCAATGCTGAGCTCCAGAGATCTGCATCTGCCATCCTCACTACTGGAGTAGTGAGCTACAGGGATGTACTGTATTCTGGGCATGATAGTCTCCAACTCCAGAGGGAAGACTGACACGATTAACTTTACAGCCCAGGCACATTAATTTTTTTTTCTTGATGTCAATCTGCACATTCTGTATTCACAGGACTTAGCCAATCAATGTAACTACTGTGCATCTAGTGCTTAGAGACTCATTTACCCAACACATTATAGTCACCATGGTTTACTGGGTGAAAAATACGTATTTTTACCGTATTTACAGTGCATTTTTGCCTGACTTAGTGTAAAACATCAGAAGATCCATTTCAGTCGCTTTCCCTAATTTTTCTATAACTTCTCAGGAGAACATTTTCCTCTCTTTTGTTTTTGTTCCAATATTGTTGAAACAGTATGTTAAAAAAGAAGTCTTTAAGTAAAATAAGGATCAAGGGCCAAGTTCTCACCAACAACGGTAAGTATGTGTTGAGGTATTTACATGTAAGCTCCTGGAAAACACAACGGATCATCCAGGTTATTTATTTATGTATAGATGGGAAGACAGATTGGGTACTGGACAGCAATTGCATCTCAATTTGACCAGGATTGGACCCTGCAGTGCATTTTTAGCATAGGATGGAGAAGCAAATGAGCTTGAGTTCAGGGTCATCCACTTCTTGTGGTGTGATGAAAGGCATGATGTAAAAGGGGTGGTGTTACAAGGCAGACATAGCAGCTCCACCACAGGAAAGAAGAGGTCAGATGGTGACTGCAGTTTGATACAGGAGTTGAAATTACTCTCTTCACAAGGAACAAGGGACAAGGAACTGCTTGAGAGAGTCCAGCGCAGGGCCACAAAGATGATTAAGGGAGTGGAGAATCTCCCTTATGAGGAAAGGCTGAGGGAGCTGGGTCTCTTTATCTTGGAGAAGAGGAGACTGGGGGGGGACCTCATTAATGTTTATAAATATGTAAAGGGTGACTGTCATGAGGATGGAGCCAGGCTCTTCTCACTGGCATCCAATGATAGGACAAGGGGAAATGGATATAAGCTGGAACATAGGAGGTTCCGCTTAAACATGAGGAAGAACTTCTTCACGTTAAGGGTAACAGAAACTGGAACAGGCTGCCCAGAGAGGTTGTGGAGTCTCCTTCTCTGGAGATGTTCGAAACCCGCCTGGATGCGTTCTTGTGTGATCTGATCTAGGTGGTCCTGCTCAGGCAGCGGGATTGGACTAGATGATCCTTTGAGGTCCCTTCCAATCCCTAACATTCTGTGATTCTGTGATTCATGTTCCTGTACTTTACTGAAAGCTCATGCAGAGGGCAGCCTGCTCTCCAACTGCCACTGCCTCGCAATTCGGAGGAAGCTCATTTCACTTCAGTCCAGAGACATTCAGGACTCTGGGCTAGGGAGAGGTCGTCCTTTTTTCTCCCGACTCTTCTGGATTTCAGCTTTTCCCATCTGTTGGACTTTCTGGCATGTTTGCTCATCCAGAAATGCCTAGAGTCTTTGTTACTCTCTCTAGGATTATCACATAAACTGCGGACACCCACATGAAACAGGGAGAAAATGCACATTCCTGATTCTCTATTTCATTTGCATATTCTTTCCACCTTTCAATTTCATTTATTCTCTCAAATTATATCCTTTCTTTACCTCTTTTACTTCCTGTGTCTGATCGTCCTCAATCTTTCAGCTCTGTGGACTGTGCATGAAATGTATTTACTGCCCCTGTGTACTTCTCCCTGGCAACTTCTCTGTTTTAACTGCTTTCACTCATGTCTCCATGTTATTCCTAACACTTTGCTGTTTCCATTGTAAGATTTTTAGTTACAGATATTACTGGATGTGAGCAGTACAGTCATGTCTCTAAATTCAAACAACATTCAAAGCCAGACATAAGAATACTTACTGTGTTGCCTGCAACCCAGTAGCAAGGAAGAGGGTGAGTGAAGGAATTAGTACAACTTCTCTATTTCTTGTTGCTAATCTTTTGATGGGGTGTTGGTCTTAGTGCCAGAGCCCTTGCCGTCTTCCCCCTGTTTGCTAACACGAGGAGATCAGTGAGATCAGACTCCAGCCTTTTACATGTGGGAGAAGAGTTGGTGACCAGACACTGTGTGCTACTGACAATACTGTGTTTGAGGCAGGTACACCTGGTTAAGGTTTTTCCATGAAGTATTTTTGTGAAAAGCATATACTTTGTTGAAACGTTTTTTTGCCTGCATAATTCCATGGAATTTCCGTTCTTGAAGATAGTCAGAGTTTGACTTAACAAGGCCCTGACCAACCTGATCTGAGTTGGCCTGGCTATGAGTAGGAGCATTGACCAGATGACTTCATGGGGTCCCTTCCAACCTAAGTTACTCTCTGATTCTGTTGGTTTGAGGTTTTTTTCTAAATTAGTTTTGTTGAGAAGAAAACTAAGTCCCATAGCAAATAATACTAACTTTTTAAAATAGACCTTCCAAACTTTTGAAAAAAAATTCTCTAGTTCTAAAAATGTAAACTAGATCAGTATTCAGCATTACATGGAAATTAAAATGCATTTTAGTTCAACAAAATGTATGGATTGAGGGTAGCTTTTTCCACTGAAAATTTTGAAATATGTTTATTTCTTGGGCAGTATAAACACATTATTTTTTAAAACTAGCTTGTGAAGTAAATCTCTTTCTTCCTTAGCTTTAGATGGCACTTATTCCTATGCACAGCATGCTAACTTGGTATTTTATCTAATAAAGTATTGCATACTTGGTCCTGCCTCGCTGAACCCAGCAGGAGTACTGGTAGTGGGGATGACCAGGCTCGCAATGCCAGGTCCACCATGTGGTTAATGTGGCATTGATGCAGGGTTGTCATACTTGTCTCCCTCTCAGTATGTCAGTAGGTAGTGTCCCTTACATCTCACATGAAAGGCAGGGAACTCTTAGAAGCAAATTTTCAGGAGCTAAACCTGTAACTTCCAGCATAGTAGGAGAGTCTGTTTGGATAAGATGAACTGTGTCATTCAAGGTGTGTCTCTTTTGGAGCAGCTGATGTAGTTGAAACATGTTTTAATGAGAGGAAGTCAGTTCAATCAAGTTTGTGATGCAGGGGCGATTTGGGAGAGTGCTTTTTTTCTGTGTAGTATTCTTCTGTGGAAAAACAACTTAGGCATCCAAAGTAAAAACCAACCACTGTTTTATACATGATTGGACATTATAATAAATAGTTCTGGCGAACTGAGATATAAATATTTAGTTGTAAGAAGAAAAAAGTGAATGTTTCCCCTGACACCCTTTGATTTCCAGTGATTCCATCTTGTAGCTTAAGGTCACCTGCATAATGGAAGTGTCTAGAATTTCTCTCTTTTTTTTTGTTTTAACACTCCATTAGTGGCCTCCTTTCTATTTAATTAATAATTAATATGTCTGAAGTGTAGGAGATAAGTGGCAAAACAAGCAGAGGAGAGAATGCCTAACATAGTGCTTTGCTGGAGTTGTTTGTTCAGCATATTCCAGCTTGCACATTGGAAAAAACAGCTTTTTGTTGGGGAGGGGGGAGCCAGAGTGTCCTGCGTGGCTTTATACACTCCCTGATATGTGTTTACTGTCATTTCTAGGAGTTCCAACACCCAGTCCAGAAATCCTTCGACATACCTTGAATATGCTTGTACGGGAGAGGAAAATATACCCAACCCCGGATGGTTATTTCATTGTAACCCCGCAGACTTACTTTATAACACCATCTCTCATAAGAACTAACAGTAAGTGGTACCATTTGGATGAGAGGATACCTGACAGGTCTCAATGTACCTCTCCACAACAAGGAACTATAACTCCCTCCACCTCGGGATGCGTCAGGGACCGAACACTACCCAAAAACCACTGCGACTCCTGCCATTGTTGCAGAGAAGACATGCACAGCATGCATGCATCTACCCTACAGAGGAAATCAGCAAAAGACTGTAAAGACTCATACTGTCCTCCTTCATTTTGTCAGGTCCCACCTACTGAGAAAAGTAAAAGTACTGTCAATTTTTCTTACAAAGCAGAGACACTCACAAAACCTAAGGATGTAGAAAAGCAGTCTAAGAAATTTGGACTCAAATTATTCCGATTAAGTTTTAAGAAGGACAAGACAAAACAGTTGGCAAATTTCTCTGCCCAGTTTCCTCCAGAGGAGTGGCCGCTAAGGGACGAGGACACCCCTACCACTATACCTAGAGAGGTAGAAATGGAGATTATCAGGCGCATTAACCCAGACTTGACTGTGGAAAATGTCATGAGGCACACTGCACTAATGAAGAAACTTGAAGAAGAAAAAGCTCAACGAAGCAAAGCCGGATCTTCAGCTCACCACAGTGGACGAAGTAAGAAGAGCAGGAATCACAGAAAGTCTCATGGGAAATCGAGGTCACACAGCAAGACTCGAGTGTCCAAAGGAGACCCATCAGATGGTTCTCATTTGGATATACCTGCTGAAAGGGAGTATGAGTTCTATGATCCCTTGACTCGATCCCCACGGGAAGGCTGTTTTATAATAGAACACAAGGGAGATAATTTTATAATGCACAGCAATCCTAATATGATTGAATCTCACTTTCCTATGACACCAGAGTGGGACGTGTCTGGTGAGCTGGCGAAAAGAAGAACTGAAATGCCTTTCCCTGAACCTTCCAGGGGAAGCTCCCACTCCAGGGTCCATCGGAGCCACAGCCATACACAGGATAGAAGATCGAGGAATGAGCGGTCCAGTAAGGCTAAAGAAAGATCTCGATCCATGGATAACTCCAAGGGACCTCTGGGCTCGGCTACTTTAGGCACACCTGAAGACGTAGGTGAAGGCTGTAGCCCAGATGACCAAACAACTAGCCAAACTTACATTGATGATAGTACCTTAAGGCCATCTCAGTCGCTCAGTCATCAAAGGGCTCTGATATCATCTGCAAGCTACAAAGAGGCTTGCATCCCTGAAAAAGCTAGTGGCAGTGTAGAGACCCCCAGTTCTTGTAGCCTGTTGGAACAAAGCAAGCCTACAGAGAATTTGCCATCATATAGCGAGCTCAACTCCTGCACAACAAAATCTGCGGTCGATGACTATTTTCAGTGCAACACGTCCAGTGAGACTGTGCTTACTGCTCCGTCACCACTGGGAAAGAATAAAGAGGATCATGACACGCTGACGGGGACAGATGGGCTCAAAAAAATTACTCCCGCAGAAAGACAGTCTCAACACATTGCTAGGGAGCCTGGGGTGCACAAAGAGGAGTCCCCAAAGGGCCCAAGCAGTGGTTCAGTGGTTGCTGGCCAAACTCCAGAGGTGATCGCAAACGGGCGGCTGGTTCAACACCATAGCACTGAATCAAGCAGCCTTGATAAAAGGAAAGAAATATTTAGCAAGGATACGCTCTTTAAA